ACAGGGAAGAGAAGGCTGAGAATGGGGTGAGGCAAGGGAGAGTGCAAAATTTAAGGGGGCTCCAATAAAACAGGAATCAGGATATAACTTTAATGTACTATTTTTAAAAATGAAAAGGAGGGGCTCCTGGGTGGCTCAGTCGCTTAAGCATTCTACTCTTGATTTCGGTTCAGGTCAGGATCACGGGGTCATGAGATTGAGCCCCCTGTCGACCCCGGGGCTCCGGGCTCCGTGCAGAGTCTGCTTGTCCCTCTCCCTCTCTGCTCCTCCTCCTGCTTGCACTCTCTCTGTCTCTTAAATAAATAAGTAAGTAAGTAAGTAAGTAAGTAAGTAAGTAAATAAATAAATAAATAAATAAATAAATAAATAAATAAAATCTTTTAAAAAATGAATGCAAAGTAATCCATAATAAGCAAAATATTAAAATTTTTAAAAAGGCTCAGTACTTGGAGCCTGAGGTGGAAGGGAAAAATTCATAATATTGATAGTGTCTTTATTTAAAATTTTGATATGTTATTCATCATAGACTTGTTTGCATTTATCTTAATTTAAAAAATAGTCCATGAGGATATTGATTCTATTAATCATTGAGGTTTTGGTGTCTCCTTGAAATGTTGCCTTCTCCTCACCCTGGTCTGGGTCCTACAAACCACTGACCTAGTCACATGCTCTGCATTACCTCTGACCCTAGTGCCAGTTGACTGAAGTGAGCACAGATATTCTTTCCCAACAATTTTCCATCTGCCAAGCCAAGCTCCAGTTATGACAATATAAGATAGAGAAACATATATAATATATACATATATATTGCATGTAATATATATAATGTATTTTTATTTTTATTTATATAATACATATATTGCATGTAATATGTATATATATATAATATACACATTTTATATATATATACACACACACACATATATGTGTATATATACAAGTCAATTGCTTTTGTCCGAAGTTCCAATCTCTTTCTCAAGCCTGAGTCCGATTATAGGAATACACCTATACCCAAAACATATAGGAGGACTAAGCTAGTATGTACATTTTAAAAATTCTGTCTAGGCGACTCTGATCCATCATTGCTCCCCACCTCCCATATTAGAACAATTGAGCTAGGTCAGTGTTGTTCCAAGTGTGGTCCACAGACCAACAGCATCAGCATCACCTGGAAGTTTATAAGAAATGTTTGTAAGAAAGGCTCAGGTCCCATCCTTGAGCTACTTAAACAGCAATTCGGGAATGGAACCAGGAATCTAGATTTTAATAAGCTCTCCAGGAGATTCAGATGCATGCTAAAGTTTAAGAAAGGCTGATGGTATAAATAATCATCTGTCTACTCATGGATTCATGACAACCTGTGGACAGCCACCTCCTCCCTAGATAGCTAAGATCACCTCCAGAAATAAGGGTGGGGCTTGCCCTAATTCTTCCTGCGTAGAGACAGGCAGGCCTGGCAGGTGTGATATCACGTCAGCCAATGTGTCCCAGGAATGGAGACTTGCCAAGCGAATGTGTGGTGTGTGGGTTTGCCATCTACATGGCTGTACTCAGGACTCACCAGTCTTTTCCAAACAGATACCACTAGACTGTTTTCAAACTTCTCTCTAGTCAGAAGTACTCAAAAGATATAAAAGCCATGGTCAGTTATAATGTGGCCCCCACCACCGACAGATGCCTTTCCCTTCACACCTGAACCCTCTCAACATAAGCTGTTAGTGCATTTCTCCCTGTAACTGTTTGTAAGTCTGCTTCTCCCAATAGACCATGACCTATGCGAAGATAAAAACAAAATTTTACATACTAGGTGCCTGGTACATAGTCGGAGCGTAACAATTATGTGCTCAAAAATGAGGGGTGCCTGGGTGGCTCAGTTGGTTAAGCGTCTGCCTTCGGCTCAGGGCATGATCTCAGGGTCCTAGCATCGAGCCCCGCACTGGGCTCCCTGCTCAGCAGGGGGTCTGCTTCTCCCTCTCCCTCTGCCCCTCCACCCCACTCGTGTTCTCGCTCTCACTCTCTTGCTCTCTCTCTGATAAATAAATAAATAAATAAATAAATAAATAAATAAATAAATAAATAAAATCTTTTAAAAAATGAATAGAGATACAAAATAAGAGACTCAGAATGATGACGTCATATAGAAACAGTGAGGAATATGGTAAGATTTGGCATGGAGTTGGAGTTGCCAGAGCCGAGAGCATTATGGCTGCTCTCTCCCCTCACCTTTACTACCCAAGAGTAAGATTTGCTGTCAGGTCTTCCCAGGAGTCCTGAAAGCTCAAATCCTGGGGAGGAGTGGGAAGATGGGCTATATGAACTATGACTTTTCAAGAGATATTCTGGTTGGAGTGGTGGGTTGGGGTGGAGAAGGAAGGCAGTGCCTTCTCCTGGGAAGCAATTTTTTATTCCAAAATGTAAAGGGCTAAGCAAGAAATGGGGTGTTCAGAGTAACCTCTGTCCTCTAGTCCAGAGAGAGAGGCAGGAAGGGCATCTGCTACCCAGTGTGCTGAAGCAGTTGGGGAAGGAAAGTAGAGTGCCAGCAGAAATCCTACTCGGGGTGAGAGACTGTGCATTTGGCTGGTACCCTCCACTGTCTCTGAGGAACTTGCAAGCCTCAGATGGCTACAGAGGCCGGGAATGTGTGATAACTGAGGGAAGCTAGCATGCGTGACAGACAAATAGGGAGGAAGTGAGGGGTGAGGAAAATCCAAGAGGGCACATCCTGTATGAAGGACCCCCATACACCGCTGCCCCCTGCCACAACTCAACTTCAGCTGATTATTTCTATTCAGGAATAGAGGCCCAGGATTGTCCGATCTTTCTAATTTTTATGAGAGACAGAAATTCAGAGTTAGTATACAATCTCCCAGTTTTGAAAAGGAGACAACAGTCAAATCATTTTAAATCACACTTGAGCCTACACTGTACACACCAAACAATAAATGTCTCAAAGCTGAATCTGGGTCGTGGGTCATTCATTTGTGATATGATGCTTTGAAAAGAGAAGTAGATAGTCAAGGAGCCCTCGGTGGTTCAGAGGGTGGGATTACCCAGTACGATCCAGAGTTTCACCTTCATCTTGTTGGTACCTAGCCTTGCACATGGTTTTGATATCCCCATGGTTCTGTATACTCTAAATCTACACTTCCATCGACACCTAGAAGGAAGAACATCTAAACTTCTTAAAACGGAGAATAAAACTATTCACCATATAAGGAATTTTGTTCAGGGCTGGTTTTTCGTGTCAGTTCATAAAATAAAAGTGGACAAACATTAACATTCCGTATATTCCGCTGGTGCCTGTGGAAGGGAGACACGTTTTCTGAGCCTCTATAAAAAACGGTAAGGATTTGCCCATGGGCTACTTTAGAGCAATAAAAGTCAAGCTGAAGTACACTTTTCTAAAAAAGCATCCATGAAGTTTCCTTTCGGAGCTGTGGTACCAGAGTGGCCCTGGCCTAGATTTCCACGGGATATTTTCACCTAGAGATAAATACACACTAAACGTTGCTGGGTGGGACCGTGGTGGGTATACCAGAGGTGGGTGAAGAGGGGAGAGGCACCCGGAACAGGTCGAGAGATTCTAATAAGTGATGCAGAGCCAGAGTTGAAAAACAAACTGAACAGATAATACGTAGGTTTAAGTCCGTGTTCTTAGCTCAAAGAGTTTTTAGAAAAATAATTTTATAAGCCTCGGCAGAGTGCAGCTGAAATGGTTTAAAATCAATTTCAACTCATTTTCCATTCATATAACACAAGAGGAGGGGGCCATCGTCACTGGCTCACTGGAGAAACGGTTTAAGGGTTTCCATCCTAGCTGATTTCAGTTCAGACAGATATTTCAAGCTTCAAGGGCTGTGTCTGGACTGAGAAGAATTTGCTCTCCCCAAAGTCCTATCACACAGGGAGTGTAAATATATTTCAGGGCTGCTCGGGTCCTGGAGTTCCTGCAGGACTTAGACTAGAAGCAAGTGCAGTCCCAGCTGCTCCCAGACCCCTTGCTTAGGATTTCAGCCTTCCAGATGGAGGACGGAGTCATCAGCACATTTAAAAGGAGATCCTTCAAGGGGAGAAGATAATGAATCAGTGAGAAAGGACAGGCAGTTGGGGGTGGGGGGGGGGGCGGTGTGTGGAGAGAGGGCGGGGGAGAGGGAGAGAGCGTGTGTGCTCATTAGGGGACGCTCTCTGATTTGACAGGCTCGCCCCGCGGCTCCCCAGGCAGCTCCGGCAGCTGCGGCCGTGCTCGGGCCACACTCGCAAAGGGTCCAGAGGGTTCAGACGAACTGCGATGCTGAGGACTGAGCGCAGCAAAGCGGTCTCCCCGTCCGCAAAGTAGACCAGACCTCCTGCGGGATTGGAAACTTGCACTTTCTACTGCTTCATCCACCGGGAAAAAAAAGCAGGCAGCGCTACTGAGGGAAAGGTAAGAGAAGAAACTGGTCGCTATGGGGAAGGTAGGGCAGGGCGGCAGGGGGAAACGCAGGCTCAAAGACTTGGGGGCTTTGTAGCCCAGCGATCCCACCCTCTGAGAGCAAAGGAGGCAAACTCTAAATTCCTACCAAGCTTCATCATTGAGCCTCTCCGCTTTCCCCCCACGCCTGGTCCCTTTTTCCTCTTTACACTTTTCCCAAGCATCTGAGAGATTTCTTTGTATTTCTTTTTCAGCTAGCAGATATCATTTAGCTTTTCCTTCTGGGCACCCTTTCAAAGTAGGGAGCTTCCTCTGTTTCTCTTCCGCATTTTTTCTCCATTAAGAGGAAACAGGTGCCTCTTATTAAGCTGGTTAAAGACAGTTCCTCCATCCTACACTAGAGTTGCAATAAAGGGAGTTTTCAGAAGTTCATGCGAGCCCTGTTACTGGAGAAACACGGGAGGTGAAAGCAGAGGAAAAGAGCTACCTGCCCGTGACCGGCTCCATTTGAAACGGGGACGCTGTGAATGAATTTGGACTCTAACTCTTCACAGGGGGAGAGAACAACTGAGATAAAGGAAGGCCACCGGGGAGAGGATGTTTTGAGAAGTGTTTCAGAGAAACTTCAAACCTGTGGAGATGGAAAACGAGACAGTAAGTGAACTGAACCAAACACAGCTTCAGCCAAGAGCGGTGGTGGCCCTCGAGTACCAAGTGGTCACCATCTTACTTGTGCTCATAATCTGTGGTTTGGGCATCGTGGGCAACATCATGGTAGTGTTGGTGGTCATGAGAACCAAGCACATGAGGACCCCCACAAACTGCTACCTGGTGAGTCTGGCAGTAGCCGATCTCATGGTCTTGGTGGCTGCAGGCCTCCCCAACATAACAGACAGTATCTATGGTTCCTGGGTCTACGGCTACGCCGGATGCCTCTGCATCACTTACCTCCAGTACTTGGGCATTAATGCATCCTCTTGTTCCATCACAGCCTTTACCATCGAGAGGTACATAGCGATCTGTCACCCCATCAAAGCCCAGTTTCTCTGCACATTTTCCAGAGCCAAAAAGATCATCATCTTTGTCTGGGCCTTCACATCCATTTATTGTATGCTCTGGTTCTTCTTGCTGGATCTCAACATTAGCACCTACAAAGATGCTGTTGTGGTGTCGTGTGGCTACAAGATCTCCAGGAATTACTACTCACCTATTTACCTAATGGACTTTGGTGTCTTTTATGTTGTGCCAATGATACTGGCCACCGTCCTCTACGGATTCATAGCTAGGATCCTCTTCTTAAATCCCATTCCTTCAGATCCTAAAGAAAACTCTAAGACATGGAAAAACGACTCAACCCATCAGAACAAGAATTTGAACTCAAAGACCTCTAATAGATGTTTCAGCAGCACAGTATCTTCGAGGAAGCAGGTAAGCAAACGTGAGCCAGCAAGTCCACGGAAACAGTGTGGGATAGAGTTCCTTGCAGGATGGCATCAACTTTGCCCTCCTTAGCTGACGGCAAAATCAAAATACAATCATGCCAATGTTTCACAGTGTAAGCGTCTGCTTTACATGTGAAATCCATCTCTAAAGCAACCGAAGATCTAAAAATAGGTGGGGGAAATGTGAGAGCACACCAGCAGGTATCAGTGGAGGTGCTGGGAGGATAGAAGGAAATATAAACAGCAACTCTAGAAATCCACTTTTAAAATGTGTGCGATTCTCTGGGAAATGTAATCGAAATACCTGCACCATTGGTGGCTTCTCTGGGGAGCAGCTGGGTAGCTTTAAGAATTCTATGTCATGACAGAGATTTGATAAGATAGTTGGAGAAAAGATGAGTCAGAGCAAAAATGAAACTTTCCTACCGTTCTACAGCTTCTCACTGAGATTTAATAACTGAGAGGGGTTCCCGGTCCTGGGCTTACTAGTTTTAGTGGGGAAAGAGCCTATCACCTTCTCCCTCAGCTCCCTACAAAGTGTCCCAGCATGCAGAAATGGAAAATGCACTCTCCTTAGGAAATGTTCTGGTAAAAAGGCTAACACCAACCTCAATTCATTGGTTAGAAAGAATGATTACATTTTTTTAAATGTGTTTCTCCTGGTAAGAGTAACTAAAAATCCCTTTAGCTTTCAGATCACCAAATGTGGATGTGGTTACAGCTAAATAGTGGTTTTCCTAGTGGATGAAGTGCAACTTTGTTACAGTAGATACAGTTTATAAGGCAATATAAGAATAAAATACTTGTATATCATATACATTTTCAGCTATATTTACACAATTGTTCTAAGTTACTTAATGAACTTAGCTTTCAGTTCCTTTTTCTTCTTTGCTGAACAGAATAAGTACATAGGAAACATTTATTCTCATAGCTGAGAAAGAAAACTTGAAATCAGCAATACCAGCTCTTTCTCTCTCTTTTTTCCCCCTGCAGGGAATACAGTTCTTCCTGTGTGCTTAGATAGAAACTGAGCATACTTTTTAAAGTACGCATATGGATTATATACATGCTATTACTTCCGAAACTCTAGATTAGCTGATATATGAAGAATTTTAATTGGACATATGGGCACACACTGAAATGAGCTGCTAATAAATGTGGGTGTTGTAGATATGCATGAAATGAATAAGGAACTATAACTTAAAGGGAGTCTATACACCATTTTAAATGATACTTTGAGATTTGATTTAACAGAACATTTTTTATTAAGGATACCAGACAGGAAGGACCTGAGAACTATTGCCGGCTCTTAGATTCCTATTGCTTTGGGTCTAGCAATGCTACCTAATACAAGGCTTGTTTGGCCATCCGTTACCCAGAACTTGATTAAGGGAAACTTAGAGCTGTTGACCATCTGCCAAGACAAACATTGACAAATACAGTAAGAAGGTAAAGAATATGTACATCTCAATTTGAGATCAAACATGGGTTAATGTCTGCAGCAAGGGTCAGTGAGTAAATTTGTTCATTAGACTCCAATTTATATTCTTGTTGTAAATTCTAAAAAAAATTGTCTGGTCTAATGTCCTTCTTCTCAATTATAGTCATTAGTACCTATCAGCATTAATAATGTGTTTTAAATTGCTAATTATGTTACATGTTCACACTCCTATTTCAAAGCTGTTACAGATAGGCTTTATAGAGCCTTTATAGAGGCTGGTGATAGAAGAAAAAGTCAAAGATTTGGCTCCAAACAATCCTGGGCTTACATGCCAGGGTTCTAATCGAATAGTATGACCTTGAATAGGCAGAACTCTCTGAGCCTCAGTTTCCTAATCTAGAAAAGGAGGATCAATAGCAGCATCCGGGGTTGCAATGAGGGTTCAGTGGAACATCTTATGAAATGGAGTGGTGATTAACACCTGAAAATTAGCCTCTTTCCTAGTTTTATATTGTGTTGGCAACTGTAAGACAAATATGGATTCATTCTTTAAAATACTATATACATTCACCATTTAAACAGATTAGCTGTTGAACAGATGTGTATATGTTCTAGTAACTTCTCTAAGGAACTTTTTAATTATTAAGGCATTTGGAAATGTATTCGGAGCATTTGGGTTTGTCACAATCGCAACACTGTCAGAGAGCCTTCAAGAGGGAGGGGCACCAAATGTCCCGAAATGTGCCAGTCAGTCCTGCCCTTTGAAGAAGTGCCCTCGTACAAATGGCAATAAGACCCCCGCTGAGAGACACGGGATAGCATATGAATCCACAGAAGTGCACTGAAGTAATATGTCATGAGATTCAGTCTTGATGGGAGATGGGATGGGTGTTCAGAGAAGAGAAAGAAAACTGTGGGGCTAAAGTGATCAGGGAAGGCTCCCTGGAAGAGGTGGCATTTGAGTAGGCTCCATTAGGATGGAGCTAATTTGGAAAGTAAAAGTCAAGAGGGACAGCACGCCACACACGAAGGACCTGGCTGGGATGAGAATGTTACGGGTTTGGAAAGGAGACAAGGAAGAGCCCACGGGTGGGATTTTTATGGTGTCGAGTGATCTGGTTGACTAAAATGAGTGACATATTTGGGGGAGCAGTAAAAAGGAAGATTGCATTAATTAGGAGTGTGTGTGTGTGTGTGTGTGTGTGTGTGTGTGTTTAAGAGACAGCTAAGGGGCTGTGAAGGATCCCAACTATCAGGCAGAGAAAGGAGTTTTAACTTGGCATAGAGGCAACCAACAAGGAGGGTGGTGAGCAGGAAGCAACAGCGAGCAAACTGGTTTGGAGGGGATGATCAATATGGGGATGAGACAGATTTGGAGGGCAGGAGTCAGGTGACAGAAAGGCCACTTTGGAAATTGTTGGTGGTGATTCAGGCATGAAGTAGTGAGATTCTCCATCAGGAGAACTTAAAGGAAGGTGTGAACCAGAGACATGTTTCAAAGAAAGAACGGGTGAGGTGTGAACACAACAGAAGCACCAGCTGAAGACAGCCCCACACCAGGGCTCGGAGCCTAGGAGACATGAGGGCCCCGACTGATGAGTAGGGGTGAGAGCCATGCAAAGGAACCAGTTTTGTCCAAAATCAATGGGCCTTTCCTTTGGCTTTTTTCTCTTCTAAAATTGTTCTTTTCTCAAATCTTCAAAAGGTTCAAGCCTCCACCTCCTATAACCAAGAGTCTTTTGTTTCAGTATTTTCTCTGCATTCTTTTTCTTTCAGGCAAGTTTAATTTACATTTTAATAAATATTCTGTCTGGGACAGGTCTCTCTAACCAAGTTATTAAAGTCAAATGTGCATAGCCTAAGAGAACTCCATTTAAAAAGGAAATAAAAGAGCATTTATACGTAAGGGATAAATGTGCATTTTTATTTGTTTTTAACTTTTATCCCCCATGCAGAAAATCCAGATCAGAGATTTTTTTTTCCCTATTATTTAGAGATTTTATTATATTTTAGGAAACTGACTAAATATTTGGTAAATTGAATCAAAGGAATTACTCAAAATAATGGCTTGGAACTTGGAACTTAGACAAAGGATTATCTGATTGACTAAATCTTTGGCTTTACCATTGGTTGTTTTGATATTGAAGAGATACAGTTTAAATGATCCCGTTTGTCACATTTCAGCTCTATCCACACAGTGCCAGAAGAGCTGTCAGTTTGGTCATTTCTGGCGTGGAGCACTGGGTAGATAAAATATCTGAATTACTGACTGTATATTCCAAAGGAATTGATTGGTTCCTTTGGTATTTTGGAGGCACAAATAATCTTGGTAATGGATCATACTACGGATGCAAATATTTGCTTTCCAAGGGATGCAGGGGTGTGTAGAATATCATATGGAGCAGACTACCAGTTTTCTTTTGCACTGAGTCTCCCTAATTCGTTCCTTTTTCCTCTGGTGGGGGGAACTGTGGGACAGAGTCCAAATGCAAACTCCATGAGTTTATGACAAGTTTTTCATTATAGGTTTTATTTGACTAAAGAAGGCTTTAAAATACCGGTCTTTGTTTCCATAAATTTCTTACAAGCCTTCCACCTTACCAGAGGAACATTGCTCACCCAAGAAACAAAAGATGCTTTCCTTTTTAAAGCAATCCATCCTTTTTTTGCTGTTGCTATTGTTATTGCTGATGACAATATAAAAGCAATCATGCATATTATGGAAAACCACAGAAAACGAGGGATAAGAAAAAAGGTATCCTTTACCCCACCTCCCAAAACCACAGTTTATTAGCATTTGCTTATATTCTTTTTCTTATGTTTTCACTTGGTCCTTTTAATATAATTACAGTAATATATATATGTGTGTATATGTATATAAAAATATATAATTTATACCCTGCCTTTACATAAAATGTTGAAATTAATATTCTCAAGGAAAATAGCAGGGTAAAAGAACATGGGTAAGATTGAGTCAGTTTTTCTTCACCTTGATTTTCTCATCAATAAAAGGGGAATAACAATTACTCATAGACTGTTCCAATCCAGTGAGATGCATGTGACCAAATTCATGTTCGCTCTCCTCCCGCCGGTCCCCTCCACTACCCTCCCCTCTGGCCTGTCCTTCTCACTACTCTGTGCCCCTCCTCAGCATGCTCTGCTCGTACAATAGGCTCCTGGAAAATGAAGAACCGAGATAAATAAGGGGCTTAAATATGTCTTTTCTCTTCTCCCCCGCCTCCCTCCAACTGCCTCCAGTGCTACTTGCTTTTTCAAGAAATCTTGAACAAGGAAAACCCTCCAAGACAGGAGGGAAAAGAGGCCTAAGAGTGTAATAGCAGGCAGTAGGGCTGGTATTTGGGAGGTTGAAGTCCCTTAGGGTGTGTGGGGAGATTCATCAGTGGTTCATCTTACCAGGCATTAATGATACTAAACTCTTCAGCATCAGGCCTAAATCAGAGGTTTCTCAAGTTTACAGGGAGTGTTTTCACAAGTCCATTTTTCATTTCTAATCGTTTTATTTGTCACATTTGTCTGGGTTCAAC